CTCATCTCTAAATGAGAGGTAATTCCTGTCCACCTTCCATGCAGGATGGCGTTTAAAAAGCATGAAATGGCAACTGGATAGCATGTGGAAAAAGACAATTTGGAGCCATACTTCACACCTATACCAGGAAAAACTCCAAATGGATAGAGAAGTTTAAATGTAAAAAGAGAAATCATAAAAGTCCCCCTGAAAAAAAACACGATAAATTCCTATAAAAGCTGGGAAGGAAGAAAACCTTCCTATGACTTTAAAATCCAGAAGCAATAAGAAAAATATCAACACATCTAACATAGAAATAAAGTAAATCTTTGCATAAGCCAAGTGAAAAGATAAACAACAAATTGGGAAAAATACGTACAACAGACATTACAAAGGGTTAATATTCCTAATATACAAAGAGCTGAAAACAGTTGAAAAAGACCAAAAATTCTATAGAAAATAGGTTAAACAGTTCACAGAAAATACAAATGGCTCTTAACCACATGAAGAGAGAGAAATGCAAATTAAAAGTACACTTAGATAGTATCACTTCTCATCTATTAGACTGCAAACATTGAAAAATTTGACAACATACTCTGTTGGGGAGAAAAGGGTATTCATTCACTGCTGGAGGGAATACAAAACAGTAAAACCCCATGGAAGGGAAGTGGCCGTTATCAATCAGAATTCCGGATGCATTTACCCTTTGCCTCAGCAATTTCACTTCTGGGAGTGTGTTCCAAAGAGAGACTGACGAACATTCAAAAACATGCATGCACGAGGCAATTCGTTAAAGGGTTATGTGTAATATTATGTGTAATAGCAGAAAACCAGTAACAACACAAAAGCCCCTCAACCAGGGGCGAACTGAAAACCCTACACGTAGTGCCAGGATCTGAATGTGTCTGTGCCTACCGAGTTCACAGGCTGAACCCTAATCCACAATGTGATAGTATCAAGACGACATCCCTTTTAGGAGGTGACTCAGTCAGGGATTAATGCCCCTATCAAAGAGGCCTGAGGGGACTGGTTTGCCCCTTTCTGCCTTGTGGGGACACAGCTAGGGGGCACCATCTATGAAGCAGACAGCAAGTCCTCGCCAGACCCCAAATCTGCCAACGCCTTATCCTGGAGTTCCCAGCCTCTAGGACTGTAAGAAATAAATGCTGGTTGTTTATAAGTTACCCAGTCTAAGTTACAAAACAGCAGCCCGAATGGCCTAAGACATATGGTACATCCACACGGAGGAACGCTGTGCAGTTATCAAAAGAGGGATAAGGAGGATCGGAAGACATGGTTCCATTTACAGCTATATTTTTTCAAAACAAGAAAATTCTTATTCTTCCCACTGAAAAGGCCTAGAAGCAATGACCAATACAGTAGCTATGAGGCCAGATTTTTGTTTTTTAATGCAGACTTTTGTGCTACACTTTCACCCCCTGTCAAATTCAGAATCAGCAGTCCTGAGGCTGAGCCCTGGACTCTGTGTTTGTCATGCCTGATGTGTCAGTTTAATCATCAGGTGACAATATTGCACCTGAGCTTTAGGAACCGCTAAATACTTTTATCAAGAAGATGAAAGATACCTGTACGTTTTGTTTGTTCCACTGTTCCAGTCTATCGGATACACGACAGACTGTATGCAACAGATACACATATTGCATATAGTAACGGCCACATATTGTACCGAATTAAGCGATAAATTAAGTTTCTTTTAACCCACAGGTATTCTGTCCATCTGTTGTTGGGTTTTTTTTTTTTTCCTTGCAATTTATTTGTCAAACAAATCAGGCGCCAGGTGTTTATCCTGCATCCCTGTGGAGTCATTTGTGGCTCCTGGGTCCTCTCTATTTCCTGTAAAGTAGCAGTTGGTTCTAGAGGTTTGAGTGGCCATGTACCATGTGTCCCCTCATGGAGGAGCACACGTCACACCAGCAACGGGGTAGTGGTGTCCCTCCTCCCCCAAAATCATTCCTGAGCCACCGATCTAAACAATTACACTGCTCTTGTTACCAGTTTCCTCCTCAAAGGAAATCGCAGGCATCAGGGCTCAGAAAAGCTAAAAACAATCTGGGGAAGCCCAGAATCCAGAAGGCAGAACGAGAAAGTGACCCAATGCCAGGAGCCCTTTAAACATCTGCCCTGCAACCTGCAATCTGGAGCACAGGTTGTACGGCACACCTTCTCTCGCCACCCCATGGATTGTTTGGATTTGTTTTGTTTTTCTTCTTCCGGAGAAAGGGTCTCACTCTGTTACCCAAGCTGGAGTGCAGGGACATGATCATGGCTCATCGAGGCCTCGACCTCCCAGGCTCAGGTGATTCTCCCACCTCAGCCTCCCGAGTAGCCGCGACTATATATATATAATCCACCACGCCCGGTTAATTCTTGTATTTTTTGTAGAGATGGGGTTTGACCATATTGCCCAGGCTGGTCTGAAACTCCTGGCTCAAGAGATCCAACAGCCTTGGCCTCCCAAAGTGCTGGGATTACAGGCAGAGCCACCAAACACAATCCATTATTTTTTTTTAAACTCCGTCTTTTACTTACCGTGGGATTAAAAATCAAGGTGATGTGTTTATGGTAGCCCACTGCGGTGAAAGAAACTTGAGGCAAGATGTAGTCATACTGGGATCTGGGGAGTGTGGAGTCCAGAAGCACAACATAGTTCTATACACACATGGGAAGAAGTTATTTTTATAAGGACAGCTCTGGCAAAGCAAATGAAAACTAAAACCTAACATATGGCTGTGATGTAAAGAACTTTATGTTTTTAAAGAAATCCCCAAGTCTACACATCCAAACCAAGGTTGCTACCTTCAAAGTAGCAACCTCAGTGGGCTATTCTAGCAGTGGCGGGCGTGTCCCCCCAGTGTCTCTGAGACTGTGGCTTCTGATAAGGCTGTCAGAGCCTGCAGCTCTTGTTATGAGTACTCAACCTTGACAATTACGGTCCTCTGAGGATCTGACTTTATGAAACACAAAAAATTATTATGAGCCAATTCTGATTAGGGAGGTATGTGATACAACTGAGGATCCACAACGAGGCTGATTTCTAAGGGACGATGTTTGAGAGGCACATAAGCTGGCAAATCCTAAAAATACAGCATCCCTGGAACAGCACCAGGGGCAGCCACAGCTCTGTGTGCTAAGCACCGACCAGGTGCCAGGCACCACACACACTGCATGAGGCCCGTGGCTGTTCTGCTTTCAACCACTGGCAAGGTCGGGATCATCACCCCCGTCTTATAGATGAGGAAAGTCAAGCATGAAGAGACTAGGAGTAACTTGCCCAGGGTCACTCAGCTAAGAAGGCTGCCACACATCTATGAAGGCTCTGAACTCAGGGGAAGTGTGATCCCAAAGCCCAAGATGTTTCCACATTGCTGTAGAAAGTGACTATTTCAACACCCCTGGAGAAAGAGGAGGGGAAAATTCCATGACAGCCTGTTTCATTATTTTGCAGTCATTTTCCACAGAGAAGGGCCAGAGTACATCGTTCTCACAGCAGGTGGTAAGGAGCCAGGAGAGGGAACGTTACCCCCTAGGCTCACACTTGACATCCTCAGGCTAAGACCACCAGAAAAGAACCAAATTCTTTGCAAAGTTTGTACTCCCCACACCAACTACAAGTTAGCTCTATCCAAACAGAATTGATAATAAGTACTTTATAATCAGTAAATGATGTACAAAATAATGGCTGAAAACCTTCCAGTTCCAAGGAGGGAGACATCCAGATTCATGTAACCCAAAGGACACCAAAAAGGTCAAGCTGCAAGTGTTCTACACAACACACATTATAATCAGATTATCAAAGACGGAGAAAAATTTCAAAGCAGGAAGAGAAAAGCAACTCATCTCATTCAGCGGATCCCCCATCATGAGGAAACTGTGTGTCCTTAAACTAAACAGCAGAATTTTAAAATACAGAAATTTTTAAAAATTACAAGGCATTTTTAAAAGTGGACTTCTTAGCAGAAACCTTCCTAGAAGGAAAGCATGGGGTGATATGTTCAAAGCGCAAGAGTTGATCATGCCCAACAGTAGGCCTTGATTAAATAAATCATGGCATTTCCTAGTTTACGGACTACTGTCCATAAAAATCACAGTATGAAAGATTTAACTGGGCACAGTGGCTCTCGCCTGTAATCTCAGCACTTTGGGAGGCTGAGGCGGGTGGATCACTAGGTCAGGAGATCCAGACCATCCTGGCTAACACGGTGAAACCCTGTCTCGACCAAAAATACAAAAAAAAAAAAAAAAATTAGCTGGGCGTGGTGACATGTGCCTGTAGTCCCAGGTACTCCAGAGGCTGAGGCAGGAGAATGGCGTGAACCCGGGAGGTGGAGCTTGCAGTGAGCCAAGATCGCACCACTGCACTCCAGCCTGGGCAACAAGGTGAGACTCTGTAAAAAAAAAAAAAAAAAAAAAAAAGATTTAATGATGAAGAACAGATTTGTGATAAATTCTTCATTGAAAGGCACAGATTACAAAACAATGTATAAAACAGTGTAAGTTTTGAATTATTAAAATGAATGTCTATTTATATTTATACATGCAGGCACACACGTGCCTGAAAAAACACCCAAAGGATACCAATCACCGCGTTAGCAGTGGCTATTTCTGGATGATGGGCTTATGTCTTTTTTTTTTCTTTTTTCCAAAATCTCCTGTCATGAATATGTATTCTTTTTGTAAATAGAAAAACAATGAAGAAAAAATAATCCCTACAGAACTCAACCTCTTTTGATTCAGAGAGTGCATTTCTGCAGAGTGGTGTTTAGGGAGAAAAGGAGAGCACTGTGCTTCCTTAAACTAAATAGCAGAATTATTAAAACAAAGGCAGAAGGTAGAATCCAGCCACAGGCATTACCTCGCCGTCTCTGAGCAGCGGGGGGAAATGGAAGAACAGGGACTGGCCAAGGGAAACTGTCTGGATCGGATTGTCAAGGTTTTCGCTTTTATAAAGCTTGACCTGGAGAGAGAAACAAAGCCGGAGATGCTTTGAAACTGAAACACAATCAATATTTCCTATCAGACATCCTCAGGACAGCCGCTCTCTGGGTGGGTGTCTTTGGAAACATGGATATTTGAAAAAGAAAGCTCCCTCCATAGACATCACACATGCCTCTGTCATCTGAGATTTCATCCAGTTATGCACCATGCACAGAAATTAAGATTCAAATCAGATTCTCACTACCTATGTTCTTGCTCAAAATAGTCATATGAGTTAATATAATAGTAATATTAGAAAGAATAGCTTCTAACACGTGTTGAACATCTGTAACATGTCGGGCAGGCGCCAGATATTTTATCTACATTATCGCCAATCCTGACTACAAAACAGGCATTGTTATTATCCCTATGGAGACCCAGAGAGCCAAAGCCACCTAAGGTCACACAACTTACACATGGTGGTGCCGGGGACTCAACCCCCTGAGGACTCCTGGGGGTTCCCGCCTCGCACTGCCTCATCATATGATGTCACCTTAACTCCAGTATCTGTTAAACTCAAAACGCATCCCATCATGAACTTGGCTCTCCACGCTGCTTCAGGAGGCACTGGAGTACTTGGTTTCTGGCTTTATTTCTGGGGTTGTTGCCTGTTCTCACTCCCATCCAGGATGGGGCGTGAGCAAGACTAAGGTGCAGTCCTGGCTGATGGCAAAGGCTGTGAGGATGCCACACTGCACCTGCCACAAGAGAATGCCAGGACCACCTCCCTGGGCCCACGCTGGCACCCTTCTACATAACACACAAGGGGAATTTTCCTAAAATGAAAGTCACAGACTGAAGGCTTATGGGTCACATCGAAGACCCCTTATGTGTTATTTTGCCTTGTATAACATCTTAAGTAAATCTGAATTCACCGACTATGTTTAAAAATCAGGTGATTTCAAATAATTCTAATTTCTAGCTTCTCTGGAAAACTGGGAAGTGACACCAGCCTTGAGCCTCAATTCCAGCACTGCAACAATCAGGAACCAGAGAGCGGCGCCCTCCCCTCCCCTCTGCCTCCTCCCCTCCCCTCTGCCTCCTCCCCTCCCCTCTGTCTCCTCCCCTCCTCTCTGTCTCC